TTTACAATTATTGTAATCGAGACTAATCAAACATTAAATAATTTCACAGGTGCAACAGTACCACTCATCACCATATTCATTAAGCATGATGGTAAAACTTGTCACATAACTTGTACCATGTATAAAACACATGTACCAATTGTTTGTTTCCCATGTTATAGACAAATGTAAAATCCCAAACCCACATAGCATACATCACAAAGTATGTTTGTTGAGTCTATTTATAAATATATACTAATAACCTGCTATAATAATCTCCCACAAATATAATATAATACACAACCTAGCAATTAGTCATACCGACACTCAACCTGAGTGATACCACACTAACGTTGTACACAACTCAAACAACTGGACAGTGGACTGGCCTATACTTTCCTCTATAGTACCTAAAAAGGAGAAACTATAGGGGTGTGAGGTAAACCACGCGCTCAGTGAGTATACATGTTGTATATGAAATGAAAATGATAATAATACACTAAAGTATGTAATTACTATGTAGATACACGTATCAAACAACAACATCAATCCAGTTCCAATGAATTCACAAGTCATATCACATCCACACTACCCCTCACTGGATAATAGATCCCACATGAATACGTGTCTCCCGAACCTCCCGAGAACACCACAATGCTAGCACATCACTACACGCCCAGTGATTAGGCATCGACGCCCCTGTCTCAAACAGTACGTTTTATTCCACAATGCGCAATACACAGCACAAAGCATCATTCAATCACATAAACATGTAGCACATTATCCTGGAGAATAGCTATTAAATTCTATCATTTACTATCATCTTATAATAGAATTTTTAAAATATACAAAGATATACACCTACCTCAAATATATAGATCTACAGCCCTTCATTTCTATTAGTGGATTCTTTCGGTGTCACCGTATCTGTTCTAATACCGACTATCTCACTTATTCCACCTAACACATTTGTAATTACGATATCAATATGTTTATCACATTTAATAATTGATCATGCACTAATGCATGCAAATGATGCACTCCAAAAATGCCCCGGTAACTCCGGTTACTGCATTATCCACTCACACACTAGCACTTTTATTCTAAGGATCACATTTTCTATCTAAATTTCCAAAATCACTCACATTAATCACAATTAGGATTAAGTACGTCAAACACATTGACCGGGGGCCCATTTTCACACATTTTGATCCCGAATCTTAAAAACTGCACTTCCTGCATTTCATACATTTCGCACAGGATATTATACTCATTTGCATTCGAAAGTCATATTATCATATCAAGTATCATTTAAAAGTGATACATGCAAAATTTTATATCATTTGGATTAAAATTCACACATGTAATAATAACATTTAAAAATCAGAATTTTGGCGTTACCGACACCTCTTTCTAACCTCTATCGTACTTATCATTTAAAACAGTCATATTTATTCTCAAATACACTTTTAATCAATGAAAACCAACTACCCATTTGGAACTCATCTTTAACAGCCCGTTAATTATGCTAAATATACTTAATTTCACCCATACAAAATCTATTTTGACATTAACTAAATCAGTCCATGAAATTTGAATTAAAACAACCCAAACATATACAAATATGTACAGACTAAAATTAATCATAACTCATGCTTATACTTAATTCCACATACCTTCTTTTTCCCTCTCTCGGTTTGGACTAAGAATACCCACCAAAGACTTGATTTCACTCTCCTTCTCTCCCTCCTTGCTCACGGCATCAAGAACACACACGTTTTTTTTTCTTTCTCTTTTACTCCCCCTCACTCTCAGTCCAGACAAGAACACACACTGTTTTTATCTTTTACACACACACACACACTTGAATTACACACACACCCTTCTATACCTTTAAACACACACACAACATGCATACACAACACACCTACACTTGCTTAAAACATGACTCATTCTTTGTTTTTTATAAGTTGACACATAAAAGGCTGAATCACGTTAGTGGGGGTAATTACACTTGTCTCCCCCAAAGTTCTTCAAAAATTTTAAATCGACCCACTATTTTTCCACACATGAAATTCCTATAAATGAGTCTCACTAATACATCACTAACGGGGTCCACATACCCAATGTATGCTCACACACATCATGGCTATGGAAGATTTAATTTAACTAAACCTTTAATAATTTCACATAATTATAATTTAGCCCACAAAATTATGTTCATATGCATGCAGTGCATGATTGGGTCTCACAATAGGTGTCGGCATTATATGCTCCAACTAGCAAAAGACATAGTGAGAACTGCATATGGATGAGAGTTAACACTAGTTGAGCAAAACAATGTATTGTCTAATGCACAATACCTGTCACATTATTAACCAATGAACGCCAACGCTCAATTGGCCGAGCAGTATCGTCGAACATAGTTCGTTTAATTGGATTCTACACATATTCCACCGGTGTAACTTGGTAAGGACAAAAGCTTGAGTTTAGCAATGAGTTTATCGACCCTTATCATCCATTCGGTCAAGTTAGACACGTAATTATTGGTCTTGCAACCGACTATCCACCTCCTAGTGTTTATATCGAACTCACACCAAGATAGCAACAGTCATATGACAAGCATTTGAACTTGAAATATTTTGTCATTGGTACAGACTAATGATACGGAAGGCACATTCGGCTAATATAAATGATCCACAAAACTCTAACAACCATGATGAGATCATAGCAAGGTTTGAACGTGAAAATGATCAAATACAACATCAACTTGATCATTTGCATGCAATCAAATATGCAAAAATTGAGCATTTCGATTCTAACTATGCTGAGATTCAAATTTTAGTGGATCTGTTACTTGTTTCTGATCCTGAACTTTTTTATTATTCCAATTTAAGTGATGATGCATTCGACACTTTTATTCCATCAAGTTTATGTGCATTTGGTAACCCTTTATGTTGTTTTCAACGTCAACCATAATATTGACAGATTGTATTTTTTACAATCTCATGTTATAACATTGTTTTGTTTAATGTATAAGTATCATTTTTTATATTTTTATTTTTTGTACACTTTTATAGGTCAAATCTCATTATTCAATAAACTTATGACATTATTTTGTAATAGATAATTTTTTAACATGTTATGGAAGAAACTGAATTGTGAGGGATTGAGGATAAAAAAAAATTCGATGACACTTGATAATGCTTCAAATAATGATGCAGCCAATGAATTTTTAAGATCAAGATTTACTGGTTTGCCTCTAGATAGAATTTTATTTGGTGTTCGATGTTGTGCACACATTTTAAATTTGGTTGTACAAGATGGTTTAGATTGTATAGCTCCTTCAATTGAAAAAATAAGAAATACAATGCGTCATATTAATAGTTCTCAATCGAGATATGAGCTATATAAAAATGTTATAAGAGTTTCAAAGTAAGATGACGAAATATTAGTCTTGATGTTTCTCACCAGTGGAATTCCATGCATCAACTTCTAACTATAGCTATTGCATAAAAAAAAAATTAAATATATATTATGATAATTTTTGATTCAAACTTCTCGCTCTAGTCCCCTTGAGCAGATATATGATCGTGATTAGTCCAAAGCTGAATGTATAAGAGACCTATTAATAGTTTTTGATGTCACAAAAAAGTTTTTGTGTGGTGTATATTATCCAACATCTTATAATGTTTTATATCAGTTAACTAATATTTGTCTAGCATTTAATTAATATATTTAAAAACTTGATTTTGAAAATATTATTCAATTAATGAGAATAAAATTTGATAAATATTTTTTGGTGTTGCAATTGCAATTGATCCAAGATTTAAAATAGAATGTTTATGCGTGTGGTTAAAGATTATTTACCTAAACGATTATGAAAAAGTCGCATCAACCGAAAGCTTAATTAGTACTTGTTTAAATGAGTTATTTAATTATTACAAAAAAATATATGAAAATATAGATTTTACTACCACATAACACTGTGCCCCAAGTTCCTCATCTACTTCTTCTTGGGGTTTAGAAGCAATGCACCTTATGAAAAAAAGAAAAGAACAAACACATACATATGACTATAATGAATTAAAATGTTATATTGAATAGCCACTTGTTGAGCATGATGATGAATCACCCTTTGATTTATTGGGTTGGTGGAAAACATACCAAAATTTGTATCCTGTGCTTTCCATTATGACCCATGATATACTAACTACTCTATCTTTGACTGTATCGTCAGAAGCAACTTTTTTTGCAGGTGGCCGAATACTATCCGACACTCCATATAGTTTGAATCCATCCGCAATTGAACCCTTAATGTGCCTCAAAGATTGGAGTCATGTTGACGCAAGGATGCATGAGGAGTCAAGAAATAAAGAATTAATTCAAGTATTAATGGAAATGAACTTACAAAGAGAAGATTGACCACCTGATAGTTCACCCAAAGAAGATAATTATATTATATTTCATAATTGTATCGTTTATTTGATATTTGATATGTTTATTTTATAAGATTAGGACTTACAAATGATTGACGATTGTGTAGCTGTCAACCTAGTTGAAATGTACTCAATTTGTAGTGATGCAAAATAACATCACTCATCAATTAATTTGTAATGTAACATATAACTCTATATGAATATTTGCTAAATTCAATAAATTATTTGTTTTGTTAATTCTTTTTTTCATACCAACTTCATGTAATTGATGTCTTTTTTTAATTTTTTATATTAAAAATAAAGTTTTCGATGTCTTTTTCTTTTTTTTTTGCAAAAAAAATAATTTTTTAATAAAAAATTCGTTTCAAGTCCAATAGGCGGCCCATAAGGTCCGGCCCGTATTTAACCCCTTTTTGGCCCAATAAGCCGGTCCACGGACAGGCCATGGGCCTTAAAAATTCCTAACGGCTGGGCCCTGTCCGTCCATTACAAGATATGGGCTGAAAAATCCTGGGCCGTTGCCGAGGCCTACTGAATTATTCCCCTTCACTTTAGCAACAATGTAGTGTACAAAGACCACAGGTGATGGCGTCTGTACTCTCACAGCGTTGTCTCACACTCTCCATTGCCTACCTCACTCCTCCAACAACTGGGTCTAGGGTTAGGGTTCGTATGGCTTCCTCTAACGCCACCGGAGAGGTCACCCAAAACTCAGAGCCGTCACCTGACACGGTAGTGCAGTACGTAGTGCTCAGGCGGGACCTGATAGACACGTGGCCGCTGGGTAGCGTGGTGACACAGGGCTGCCATGCCTCGGTGGCAGCCATTTGTTCCCACAAGGACGACCTTCTCACTCAAGACTACTGTAGCCCCTCCAATCTTGATTCCATGCACAAGGCAAGTGTAATATCCCGCCCGTTTGTAGTTTTTTCACTCATTGCTGGTAATGATATGGAAATTTTGGAATGATTTATCGGAAATCGTGAATCCATCCCTGAATGTTTCTGTCCACCTATCTTTTGATTGCTTGATTAATTTTGGTATGTATTGCTTGTAAGTCCTTGCAAGTTTGTAGCATTTTATAATTTGTTGGTTACTTTGTGGGTGATTGGTTCGTTGTGGTTCTTGTAAGTTTTGAATGTTTAGTGGTCACCCATATCCTGATCTGTTTGATTAATTTTGTTGGTCATTTTTGTGATGCTGTGAAATTCTTTGATATGTTCAGTCCCTTGATGTCTAGCCATTGGAACTTACGTCATGTGTTATTTCCATTCCTTAGTTCTTGAGCTGTCTCAGATTATAATTATTTATATTTCCATAATTTGTTATACCATTTAAATTTTCTAATTCCTTTCAATAAGATTTACATTAAACAGTTATTCTTGATACAAGTCATTGGATTGCTGAATATTTGTTTTTTTCTTGTTATAATAATTTGGTTATTTGGTTCATATCTTGACCTGATTTCCCAGGGACAAACTAGTGTGAATTTTGATTCTTGAGTAAAATGAGATGCCAATCACACCTGTCCAAAAATCTATGAAATACAGTGCATTTGATTATCTAAATTGATGGACTTCACATTATAAATCAGGGAGTGCTTTCCCATAAATCATTCCTTGAATTATTATTTATCTGAAAAAAAAAAAAGAATAAAGGATTGATTAAGCAGTTACTTTGGGCATTCATTTTTGGTGTTGTATAAATGAAAAAATGGTTAATTAGGTTCTTTTGCATTGCCCGTGATGAAGGATAGGTGGATTGTTCTCCCTTATTTGGATAGGTTTTGATGGGGTGGTGAGGAAAACTCTTGATTCTTAGCATAGGGAATGACCAAAGAGCAGTGCAGTGAGAATAGATAGTGCTCTCACTTTTGCCTTGGAAGGAGAACGATAGAGGTTCTTTTCTTTTCTTTTTTGATGAGAAACTGGAAAACTTTATTAATTTAATAATGATAGAAATGATACATCCAAGAAAATATGGATGGAAGAGAAATCCATCTATGAAAAGGAACAAGACAAATCTCAACTCATAAAAACTATGTATCACATGAGGCCCACCACCTTCTAATCTCCTAAGATACAAAAAAGCAAAATGCCATCAGACTCCTTCGAAACAGAAGCCCACAATGACGTCAAAAAAATAAATGTGATCTCATAAACCTTCCTTCCACTCTCCTTTATTCTCAAATATACTTGAATTCCTTTTCAACCATATTACCCATATAGTGACAAACATTGCACAATGACATAGAACCACCCCTTTCTTCGGCTTTCCTAATCCCTCAAATTCCTCCACTAACTTATAGGAAAATGACCTAAGAATCACCCAACTCAAACTTGCTAATTGAAGCAATTTGGTCCACAAAAACAAAGTAGTTTGGCAATGCAAAAACAAATGATCAATAGTCACACAAGCACATGCACACTTGACACACCACTTTGGGGAAATGCAAAGAAACAATCTTCTTCTCTAAAGCACATCATTTGTATTTATCCTAACATGAGTTATAATCCATGCACAACCTTGCACCTTTGTGGGAACCTTAGCCTTCCAAATCATCATAGAGGGACAAAAGACAATGTGTGAAGGATCATCAATCAATTTATCAAAAAATAATATACATTAGAAGACACTTAGAGACTCAAGAATGCACTTTCTTTTACCACTTAATTTATGACACTGTCTAAACTCATTTATCACAGATAGAACTGACACCCGTTCCAAAAAATCTCTATTATCAAGATTTATATGGAATCTAAAGTCCCAAGAAACTGATTGATTAGAATACTAACGCGACGAGTCAATAGAAGACCCATAAAATCGAGATAAATTGCAAAGATGTGGGAACATACATGAAAAAGAAGATTTATCAACCCGCTTAGTATATTCTAAAAAACGAACTATTTCTGCATTACCCAGCATGAATGTAACATATTGAGAAAACCATGAAAACCTTTGAGAAATATACTTCCATGGGTATTTGTAAGTTTTCTATCAACCCGCTTAGCATCCCATCCATTGGGTAATCTATATTTGTTCTTATAACCAAATGTCATAGAGAATTTTGTTCCAATTGAAATCTATACAGCCACTTACTAAGTAAGGCTACATTCCTTGCCCTCAAGTTTCCCACTGAAAACCACTTTTAACTTTAGTTCTTGACACAACCTCCCAATCTACCAAATGATCCTTCTTACCTACCAATTCCTTTCCACAATAATTCTCTCATCATTTTCTTAATTCTCATTACAATTTTTCTTGACATCTTAAAGAGAAAGAAAATAAGTAGGTATGCTACCCAAAACTGATTATACCAAAGTTAACCTTCCCCCTCAAGAGATCCAAGATCTCTTCCACCCATGTAACATTTTTCCTACCTTTTTCACAATAGGATCCCAAAAAGGTAAAAATAAATAAAGGATTTCCCCCAAAGGAAGACCTAAATACTTTAAGGGTCAATCCCTCACACCACACCCCAACATTCTTGCTAATCTAGAATTTTTTATCTTGTGAGTAATTTATACTTACAATCACACTTTTCTCCATATTGACCCTTAATCCTGGCACCATTCCAAATACATCTGTTATCCTTTTGCAAATGTGACACAGAAATATCATCTCTCCCAACAAGAAAACCCCCACAAAATCAAATATTTATGCTCTTTTTACTAATCTATTCAATCCATCAACTGCCAAAGGGAAAATGAAACAAATGATCACCTTGCGTGTGAATCCAATAGTTGTTTTGAACTTCCCCCTAGGTCTTCCATTAATCATAGCAGAGAAATTCATTGATTGCAAACATTCATTAATCCACTCTTTCAACTTTCTACCAAATCCTTTTATCTCCAAAACATAATTCAAGAAACTCTACTCCACATGGTTATATGCTTTTTAAAGTCAATTTTAAAAACAATACTATCTTGACCTACAGTCCTCAACAGCCTCATTAGCTGCCACTGTCACACCTAAAATTTATCTGCTTTAATAAAAACACCTTGCCTAACCAAAATTGTCTCGTTAAGTACCTCCATCAATCTCAATGATAACACATTTGTAATTATTTTATAAAGGCTAAACACAAGGCTAATTGATCTAAAATCCTTCATTCATAAAACTTGTCCTTTTTTTATATAAGGCAAATAAAAGTAGCATTAATAATGGCATTTACCACACCATTTTAGAAGAACTGTCAATAAGTACTCATTTACCACCTCCCAACAATCTTGAAACATCACCTTAGTAAAACCATCCAGATTCTGAGTCTTATCTCTACCATACTCAAAAACATGTGTAACCTCTTCCTCTTCAAAAGGTCTTTCCAACCATCTAACCCTACTCTCGTCAATAGGATTCCACTCTAATCCCTTCAACTTGGGCCTATCATTCTCTTCATATGAATGTAACTCAACAAAGAACTCTACATTCTTACTTTCTATTTCTCTTTCCTCTTCCACAATCACTTCATTTTCAAGCTCCAATTTATCAATGAACTTCTTCTTCCTTCTCCCATTTGCCTTGCTATTAAAGAGTTTTGAATTTTTATCACCCTCTTTAATCCACTTCATCCTATGATAGAGGGGTTTTTTTGAGAGGAATTGTTGGGTGGTTTTAAATCAAAACATTAGTCAGCTTCTCCTTTTCTTGAAAAGAGGGGCGGGGGGCGATGTAAATTCACAGTTTAAGCTTATTGAAGATTGCTTTTTTGGTTTCGTTTTTGCTTCTGGGTGTGGAGTCTAGTACTCTGTCTTTCATATAATTTGTGTTGAGTAAAAGTACCAAAAAGAAAAGAAAGGGTATTATGTGTTGCCATGCATGTTAGCTATATCTCCTCACCAAGAAAGGGCAATTTGGTGCAAAAATAATACTCGCTTACATGACATAAATGTTTAGACATTTTTACGTATATGAACCTATATATACAATGGAGCTAGAATTTCTCCGCAATTATGGCAACATAAAATTCATAAGTTAAAACCATAATGCTAACATAATCGGAGGCACAATCAATATATAGAAGTAATGTCTAAAAGAGCTAAAAGAAGGTTCAACTTCAAAATTCTCTAATAGTCCTATACTAGGAAGCATGAATACTTCCCGAGTGATGTCATGGCAGTGTCGGACATATGTTCGATATAGTTAGAAGAGTCTTGAATAGTGAATTTAGTCGGACACAACGAGGATACGACCAAGATTTTTTTTTTTTAATATGACTATTTACTATTCAAAAAAGTGTGATTTCTTTATTATTATTTTTTTGTGTTTATTGTTATGTAACTTATATATTATGAATGTTAATGGATGTTTGATGAAAATGGTGGATATTTATTTTAATTTATTTCAATTTTAATCAAAAAATAATATTTGCCAAGTTTTATCATTAATATTGTTATAAAATATGCTTTGTTTTTGGTGTATTATAATTCTTTTGTTTTCTAAAAAATATAAATTATTTTAATTAGCCATATTTTTGCAGTACTGGTGTCCTATATTTTTAAATTTTATCGTATCCCTGTGTCTGTATCATATCAGATATGACACTCATGCTCGTGTTTGTGCTTCCTTTGTCCGATAAAACTATAGATATACAAAACTTAACAATAAACCTTGCATCAAACAAAGAGAGTTTCAAAACAATTTTATCAATTGCACTCAAATTTTAAATGTGAAATGGAGATATCGGATCCCTAATGGGATGAGAGTCTCAGGGAAGTTTGAGTCCAATTTTATTTATTGTTTTCCAATTTTGAGTCCAATTTTTTAATGTATGAAGTTTGAGTCCATACCTCAGAATGTTTAATATTCCCTATAACTTTTTAGAATTGCAGTTTCCAATGTAACATGAAACATCTGCAGTATGTATGATGCATCCATGCTCATGGATATGGGTGTTCGTGTCTAAATTACAGCCAATATCTTCCAAATACAGTAGAATAATGACACATTAGCTCCTCATGCTACTATACTTGCTAATTGGTTGAATATTTGAGTTGCTGCTGTCTAAATGTAAAAAAAAACGAGCATAAATCCTCTTATATAGATTGCGTAAGTGGTTGTGCGATACCCCGTTACCATGATATGGGGAATTACATAATTTGTTCTTTATTGAACAGTGGATCCAATGTGATGTGGAAATCCCATGCCCATAGCATAAAACATAGAGAGTAAAACCCCATTTTGATAAGAGTTGGGATTAATTGAAGTTACCTTCTTTTAGACGTTCTTTAGGAGAAACCTAATATCTGGAACAACTTACATTATTGTGGTGTTTATGTGATTTTTTCTCTTAATCTAAGTTGGTCAGTATGTACAAGTTTAAAGTAGTGGACTATGAAGGTACTTATCAAATTCTTCATTGGATATGCAGGTTACTCTTGAAGTCAAGGGAGAACCCCAGATATTGAACTTGTCAGAAAAGCTGACTGCCGGTGGCATTGCTCATAAGCTGTGGGTTGAACAACCTGAGAACATTCCCACATGTCTTGCAACAAAACCATACCCCAAATCCATTGTATCATCATTTTTCAAAAAGCTGAAACTCTGTAAGTGATGAGATTTTCAAGTGCCAACGCTAAAGTTTAATAATGAAAAGCAAGTTTTATCGCGAAAATACTATATAAAACGTAATCTACATATACGGTATTCATAATATTGCTGTTAATGAGCTCTGTACTCTTGCTGACTAAAAGCAACCCTCTTTTGCTATTCCAGTTATGAATATACTCGGTCTCCTCTAGCAAATTGATTTAACTCTTAACAGAAATTAGAACGAGGAATACAAAGCCATATTATTTCAGAATAATAAAAGCTCTTGCATCTCCATATTATTTCAGAAATTTGGGATTGTTCATGGTCCATACAAAAGCTTCTTGCTCTCTTGTGGGTTATGTGAACTGTCAGCCTTGTGAATCTGTTGCAGCAATCTAGGAATGTGTTATGAAATTCCCTTTAAATTTTACAGGAAATTAGCGGCCTTTTTTGTAGTCTCTTCCTTTGCCTCGGGCTTGAAATAACTTTTGCTTTTGACGACCTTTTTTATATTGACCTCTTCCTTTATTTTCTTGCCTTCAAGAAGTAATGAGAAGAACCAGAGAATGGATTGTTACGGATCCAGATCCTAAAAATAATAAGGCTTTCGAACAAGCATTAGTTCTTGTAAACTATCCTAATAAAAGCTTTTGCATCTCTGCCCCTTCATATGAACAAATTCAATGAAAGCATTCCCCGGCATATAAGGAAGGTAAGATGTGTGCGGTACTTGAATCATCTTATATTAGTAAAACAATCCCCAAGTTTCCATTTTCCTCCAACAAAAGGAACCTTCTTTCTAATATAGTAACCTTCTTCAACAAAAGGAACCTTCTTTCCATGACGTAGACAAAGAAAGACTTTGCAGAAAACAAAAAATGGGAGAGAGAGAGGAAAAGACTAAGATGAGTCTGCTAATTATGAATTAACTACTCTGATATCGTTAATTAGCACCATTTCGTCAGTTTTTCAAACAAATCTTCTTACTAACGGATGAAGCATTTTCATTAGAAAAAAAGAAGGGCAGAAGTGAGGTGAGGAACGAGAGAAATAGAAAAATAATGAGGACAACTTTACGAGGACAAAGTGCACAGTACCCCCTAAAAAGATTCACAATTTGTACTTTACTATCTTTGCCAGACAATAGATCATATTTTAATTCGATGGATTAATATTTTTTTAGCAATAATTCAAACTCAAATATAAATCCGCTATTTTATATTTTACGAATCCAAATTTAAATATACGTATATCCCATCAAATTATAATTAGATTCAAAATATGTATATATTTTTATATAAATATAAAACAAATTAAGTGATTATTTAAAAAATTTTAATTAAAATTTAAATATAATTTATTAAATTTTAATTAAAGTTATTTGAATCAAATCAAACTTTCGGATTGAATTTCGGAATGTTATCTAATACGAATATGAACCATGAAAATAAAATCCATCAAATAAACAGATCCGATTCAAATCAAAATTTTAAATTCATACTCTAATTTGAATCAATCAAAATCAAAAATAGTACAAACTGTAGTATTAAAAGTTTGACATTTTACATTTTACATTGCACCCTGAATTATTGTAAATGTTCACAATGTGCCCCTTTTTACTATTTGTTTTCATTAATTTATGTTCCAAAATTGGTACAAAAAGGGACACATTCCTAGAAATTTATGGTGTAATGCAAGGTTTTTTAGAAAGTGCAAAATGAAAGAATAAAAAAAATCAGGACTGCAGCAAAGTTGTATCAGGCCCCCTCTTCTAATGATTTGACTGCTCACACAAACAAAAAGAGATGACAAAAATGACAATATTGAGAACCATATAGAGCCCGAATACACCAACACTGGGGTCCGACCTCAAAGCAAAAACCTGAAATTATTGTTCCAAAATAATTCAAGCAAAAACTGCTACTTAAACAAGTCGAAAGGAGAGAGAACATCATCCCTTTTGCAATCTTCTCTACAAAAATCTTCCTAAAAAATGACATAATGTTTACTCTTTCAGTACTGCGGCTTATAAAGTAGGATAAGGACAGCATTGCTACATGTAAAACTCTGTTCAGCCACAACATCCTTCCGAGATGCAAAGGGAACAGTTGACAGAACCTGACTATAATCCTTCAATTCAAACACAGGAACCTGTAAATTCAGAGTTGTAAGGAATGTAAAAAAGAACTGGGGAAACAGAAAAAGTAAAAGAAAACAGAAGATTCCTCCAATACATTTTTCATTTTTCTTCTTGGTGGATCACCTACCAAGAAATGAATGGGCACCCATTGTATATAGGTAGATGATGGATGATCTGCCAAGAAGGAAAATGGAAGGAAAAAAAACCATTAAAGGGGATCTGGATCCAAGAAAACAGTACAAAAATGTTTGATCCAGCATACAATGGGCAAAAAAAGGTACAGTATTGAGGAGAAAATGCCTCATTTTCGTAATGAACGCCACTATGTCGATAATTAATATGACTTGGGAAATATTGTTGTCTCGATGAGTACCCGTATCGTAAAAGAATTGATGTTGAGGTGATAAAAATGACCAGATCAGCTGCCTCCCTTCTGCTTGAGGGTGATCTTGTCCCCCAAGCTAAGAGCAATCCCCTGGGTCTTGCTCCTGATCCTAATATATCCACTGAGCTTACCATCAGTTTGTTTCTCAATACTCACATTCACCAAAGCATCCTCTCCAAACACACTCTTTGCATACAAGTTAGCAGCCAAAAACCCACATTCTCCTTCCAGCGCCGACCTGATACACAACCAGCCAACCAGAGTTTAACAGAACTTTTTACATGTCTACCAAGGAACATAAGTAAATAGATTTATGTTTTCCTATGGTAGCTAGGCGAGCGATGTATACTAGCTTGTAAGTTGAGTACAAAAAGTTAAGCTACCAAAATGACACCTGGCTCAGGTTCCAACTGAACTCTCTAATCAATATTTTGTTTGGAGTAAATTAGATTGCACCCCCTAACATCTGAATTTTTTTTTCCAGCCACCCATGATATTCCAATATTAGCCCCACATCTCAACATTAACAAGACCCCCTCCATCGCTAGAAAAGATGAGATATTATACTTGAAATGCCAACATTACCCCCTCCCACTTAAACCTTTTTATAAAAAAATATTCATGTTTCCAAACTAGACCCGGGTTTTAGCAACTGCTCCGTTGACCCCAGATATCGTATAGTTGTCAGCATTGCAATTGAAGTTTATCGCCATCTAAACATGCCCTAACAAACGAGGCAGCTACTCCATGTATCCATGCAGGTTCTCATGCAAATTATGCAGCTAATAGGTTCACCTCTGTGATGTATTGTACAATTTGAAATTTTTATTATCACTACTTTAGATGTTTTGCATCTCCATAAGCTGCATACTAATTTTAAAGCACAATATAGACAGCAAGGAAGTAATCTTGGAGGTATTGATCAAACAAGTGAACTGGGGTATTGCATTTGAGGGCTTGCAAAGTAAATGTACTTCACAAGGGAACTGACATCATTAAGTCCTCTGGGAAGTATGTTCATGCAACTAGAAGTTCAATCCTTCCAGTTTATCACAAAAAATTATAGGAAGGGAAATGCTGCCTGGCAGAGAACTTACGTTGCAGTGAGGCACTTCATGTTCGTCGACTTGATTATATGGTCAAGAAATTCTTTCTCACGTTGAATTACGGTGTTGACAGCAACCTGCAATGAAGACCGTTAGATTAAATACTAAAATCCAAGTAGACAACAAGCAACAGCAAGACCATAAACAAAGGGTCATTGAGCCATTAAAGAAACTCATTGATATTAAAAAAAATAGACATCCAACAACAAGCCAAGAAGACACAAGAGGCCAAAGAACAGATGCAGCAATATTTAATGACAGCACATCCAGTGCTGTGGAGAACAAAAAGCCAATGCAGATAGATGCTAACTTTTAGCTGGATTGAACCCATATTCACAACATTTTTCAGAAATATAGCTTCTCACTTGGTACGGTAACACAACCAGCCAAGTAAGTGAATGTAAGCTTGTTGGTAAAGCACTGAATAAATATAACTGGAAAATTTAATGCAAACTTGAATACACTACCTATAGCAAAATCAAAAAATAAATAACTAAAGAACAGTATTGAAGTCACAAGCACACAAGTGAACAGGGGAAAAAAGGATTCCGTAGGAATACAGTGCCTATGAACCCTACAAGGCATACAAATAGAATAGCAGGAATGTTCCATCCAAGGTAGTGTAATAAAACACAAAATGACAAAATACCCTTGAAAGAATATGTTGCTTCTTACATTGGAAACCACTACAAAATCAAGTCAATTTCTTTTTAAAAAACTTAAGGACCGAGATATATCTCAGAAGACTCATTTCTTTCCTTGCCAAGTAGTCCGCTAGACATCTATGCATCAAGTCTTTCACAGTGATATCACCATCTATTCAATTAAAATAACAAAGAGAGCAGATAGGAAACAATCTTATCATTGAGGTTTCTGAATGAACGGCTGTTCTTAAAACAAAATGAGATGAACGTCATTTTGACCCTAATATTGATCATGACAAGATGACTCACTGCCAATTTCAGTAAGTGGCCATTTAGATACCTTTACTGCCTCGGATAGTAACTTTAAGGTGCTGAAACTTCAGGCATTATGAAATAGTTACTTACATTGGCAGACCAAAACTTAGTTCCCTTCCGGAGGCAGATTACAATAACACCCTGACGTATTGTTGTTCCATGCTTAGAATACCTAATTGTCGCTAGTTGCATTATGATGATCTTGCATGATTTCTGATTTTCATGCTTTGGGAGTTTGATAACGGTCATTTAGGGAAATTGTGGTGTGGGTGATAACCAACTTAGTTTTTTTACCCTATGTTTTTCGTCTTTCTAGAATCACAGGAGCTTCTATTGTGGACAAGTTGGTCATGGCACAATCTAATTATATATACTGAGCTTTTGCAGTCAAATAAAATCTTGCACACGAATCTCATCACAAGTTTCCAAAACACCAGCCCTATGAAGATCCACAAATTCATACTAGAGCAACGAAAATCAGTGCCCGCGACACACAAATGTGCTAACTGCCTCACAAAGGTCAGGAAAAGTTAGATGGGAATTCAGACACTCTGATTCTATTTGCACAAAGTTCAAGCTAAATCTGGTAACTGTTGGAAGAAACCTGAAACTAACTAGTTTCATGGAAATATGAAGTGATGCAAGTACATATCCAATCTTCATACAAAAAATGCAAAAAGTAAGACTCCAAATTGATTGAACCAAGATTGAGTAATTGCATTTGACGCAGGATCACATTCAGACATATCTGACGTTTGTGTCTGAAGTCTGAACAGTCAAAATGATGGTCACAGTTGTTTGCCCAAGAAGCTAAACAGTTTTGCAACGTAGGACAATGATATAACAAAGAGCCTTATTTTAGCCTTACAGCAAACTTGGCATGGATGTAAAACAATACCCAACAATTTTGAAGGGAGCTTGAATTACCACTTGTATATCAGTTGAACATTTAGCAGCAATTGGACACCAATGGTACAAACAAATTAACCTGTTAAATCTGACAAATACTCAAGGTAACCATAACAGAAATTTGACAATGATGCCATCCAAAATGGTTCATCAACTGTATCTCTTTGTTGGTTTACTATTTGTTTTTTTCTTTTTTTTTTTGGAGTGGGGGTATGTTGACTGAAACTATCTTAAAGTAAACAATTATATATCTTATCAAAAGTCCAAGTAACATCTATACCAAAGCTTCCACGCATTATTTGAAATCAAATACCCTGTACCCTAGCATAAGACACATAATTTCTTCCTTGACAGGCCTATGATTCCATTTCTGATTCAAGACATCTGTATGCAATGATTGTGGGTGCCTCACCATGTCCTTGACCACCTGGAGATGGCTGATTCAGCAGGCAGCCACTAACAAAATTACCTCTTTTTTTCCTTTCAGTCTAAGGCTTTCTAACGCAAGTTAAAACCACATTATCATTAAGCTACTGTGACCCGAAAAACCTATTTTTACAAGATATTACCAATAAGAATTCCAGATCGGTTGCTCATCAAGTAAATCAAATAAGTTCCAACTACAGATGTTCAGCCAAAGAAACATTAACATGTTTCAAGTGTCATTCAATGTTGTGAAAGATCATAATACAAAGTTTCTTAGGAAGATTCCTGTGAAAATAGAAGCCAGTGGTGTTGACAGAATTACACAAGAACCACACAATTCTAAAAAGAAGTTTGGACTAATAATAATTATCTTTACAATGATAACCACTAATAAGATGACTTTCAAATGTTCAGTCACGTCACAAATAACAAGCAAATTAATGATAAGCATATGCAATCAATCTGCAGTGGATCCATTCAATGAAAGGATGCATCAAAGATCAGGAAATGGTTGTCACTAGTTCAATCCAAACTCATTAGGTATGCACGAAACACACTTCAAAATTAAGTTATGAAAGCATCTGTAAAACAATTAAAAACCAGGTATTTCCAATATATAGTTGTATAAGTCATGAAAGGAATGGAAATGATACCTTGTTTTCCCACTCAAACTCTGCCCACATAGTCCTAAATGTGGCATCACTACAGACAGCAGGAGAGATGTAGTCCATGATATCAATGTGGATGTCATTGAGGACAACAACAGTTCGTTCTAGCACATTTGAAGTCTCATAAACGATGTTTCCAAATATGACTCCAGTCTCAGTTGAGGACACCTTGATATTTGCTTTTATCTGCTTGCTGGATTCAGGGGCTAGGGTGTAGTTCTGGGGGCGGTCTACAAGTTTAAGATCACCCATAGTTGCCAACTCCAAGCATAGATTCTGGAGGGTCTCTTTAGTACGATTGATAACAGTAACATCAAGGACAATATCATAATGATGAACTGTCACATATGCTTCAGCATACACTGGGTCACTAAATCCAGTTAGTTGAAGAATCCGGTTCAGCTTATTTGCATTATCTCCATCCTTAATGAATTCCCCAGTAGCCCGTTTTAAATCATCTTGGACCTCATCTTCCACTTCCAGCTGGCTCATGCCCTGGAATTCAAAATAACAACAAGACTCTTTTAGAAAGGAAGTATATAACATACACTAGAATCACTCAAGTACAAGAACAACCACATAAATGGCTGTCATATGCCAAAGACATGCTGATAGAAGATTAACATAGGGTAAATAAAGAAAAGAAGTTCTGTTCCTTTATAGAGAGAAGCTGTAAAAAATAAGTAACTACATTGGACAAAAGGTTCGGTCCTATATATATACAAGTTGTCCACGAGTCGAGTGATGAGGACTGCAATAATCTTTCACAAATATAGTCAACCACAATTTGTTTTTAGTTGATAACTTCCATTTTATGAAAAATACTTCAGACCTAAAGTAGATCTTACTAAAAACCCAATAACACGAGTGGCAATTGATATTGTAATCCTTATGTCAAATATTTATCCAAACCAGGGAAAATTTAAACCTAGATTAACAATAGAAACTCAGAATTTATCCATTTCATTTAGGAGAAAGCTTATCATCCATACTTTAAATATTAATTGCATAACCAAGATGTTCCTTCCAGGTCCACCTCGAACATATAAACATTCCATACATAGTTATATGTCCCGAAAGATATCCTTTAAACTTTTGTAGTGGAATCTATTAATACCTATAGCTGGTCAAAGCAAACTAAACTTGCATCCCAATATTTATACCCTTTTTTCCATAAACTTAGTGCATACCAAAAGATTCATAATAAACATGCCAAAAGATGGCTTACAACATCATCAAAAATATTTACCAAGAAGATGCATCTTTATACGCACATAACATATTGAGTAGCCAAGCATACACTTCGATAGAGTTCCTTGGCTCAAGACCAGCAAAATTACAAGGAACGAGCGATCACCCAGTATGAAAAGTAAACATTGAGTGCTAATCCAAATTTCATGCGGAAAACTCATGGCATGCTTTCAATAATCCATGATGCAATGTAACGGCTTAATCCCACAACAAGACTATGATATCCAGCCATCAATGTATCTCAACATGTCAATTTCTTCAAAAATATTTAATCCAGATTTTATCATCTTACTCAAGTTTTATATTCATTTCTCGTAAGTGCAGCAGAACATTTCGCCATTTCCAGAGACCTCTGCTCAAGAAGTGCTCACCGTCTTGTTTTAGGTGCTTTAATACCAAGGATGAGAGTAACACCATGCGTCAATGATCACAAACACATCGGCCAAGCTTTCAGGTTTTTCACCATGGAGAAATACAATCCCTAATTAATCATGTCCATAGTTCCCCAACTATTAAGGTGAATCTCGAGCATTTCACATCACAACTCATTTGACAAAAGTAATATCACAAATTTCCATAAGATTACTAGGACAAGGAGAAATATAACCCAACATGTGAATCCATGAAGGTTTTCTAAGCTTCCCTACAGGTATCAAAAAGATATACCAACAAGGGGTTACGCAGTCATTTTCAATTGAATAACAATTCTGATTTTAAGTTTCACAACCTAAACCAATCTATAAACATATGTAATGCCCCCACAGTAAGATATTTATAGTAATGGATTTCAAAATCAGATCAAAGATTAATTTCGAAGTGGCTACCATTATGCAGGATTTCTGGACAGCAACAATAAATTATGAGCTTTTCTAAAGATGCTAAAGTTTAAATATTCTTCTGAAAATGTGTGTGCACAATAGGCAAACAAGGCAAGTTACTGTAAAATTAGCATCGGAACCAGACATAACTAATTAGGCTAAAACGTTATTCAGAATGACCGCCTGTGCACAAAATTTCTGGACAGTATAAATGACTTCCATAATCTCCTAGAAATTCTATAATCGGAATTTTCTCGAAAATTATTTGTATGGAATTGACTCATGGAACAGCCCGTAGTAAAAATTTTGTGCCAATTCGACATCTAAGAACCTTTCAAAAGAAACTCCACAAGGTTCATTGCAGAATCTCAAATTTCGTTGCATTATCAATGATAGACAAATATTAATAAAAATTTCCACAATTCATAATTTTGCAAGAAAGAATTTCTGGGTATTCATGCATATGTCTACTTTTAGTCCTAAAATCTGAGACAAATTCTCTGCACAGAAATCTGACAACAAAATATGTGCATAGCCTGCTAAAAATCAAAACTGGTCCTGTTATCAATGAGACAATTACATATATAAATCCACAAATGGAGAAAAAGGGAATTATCTTCCCCTGCCTCAAATTCTAGCTTTATGAAACTAGAACTTCAAGTTAAAGATATCTCCTTTGGCAGTTCTCCTATCCCAACCCAATCTTTACTATTTGCTTTAGTAAAATCTTGAGAAACACATAAATGAGAACTAAAGAAGCATGTTGTGCTCCTCTCTTCCCTCCTCCTCTCTTTATCTCTCTTGCTCTCTCAAGATGGAAGTTGTTGGTGCACAACACTCATGGAGAGAAGCTCTCCTCTCTGTCCCATTTTTCTCTATAAATGTTTAGGTATATGCAACCAGACTCCACTTCATGAAACCAGGCAGCCTTCCCCTTCTCTTCTTGCATTTCTTATTTTACCGCTCTCCTCCCTCTAGCTTTCCAATATTATGATTTGACACCCATTAGTTTTTTACCTCTCACAATGCATTATTAATTTCATTTCAAAGTCAATGTTCAACATTAATGGGTTATGCTATTATTCTCAATTATCATGCACATACAAACACATACATATGTATTCGTGTAGTTTAAAATTCTGGGTGATCACAAAGGGATAGTGAATTAGTAACACAAAACCATGTAATAATCCAACAGCTAACAAGAATCTGTAATATCTACAATCAAGGGAAAAGAAGTACTTTCGCAACTTCAATGAAAATATTTCAAAATCTAACTAATGGTTCAATCTAACATGAAATTTTACAGAAGCTAATTCACCTAAAAGGCAGGAGTATATGATAATCCAGTCTCCATATAACCTGATATCTTCTAAACAAACGCCCCTATTTACAAATAAATTTTTATAGAACATTTTCCCACTTCTTTTTCAGATATACAGGAAAAATGAAAGGATGAAGAGGTAAGAAAAAGGAACAGGATGAAGAGATTTCCCAAGAAATAGATGTGAAGGGAAAGGAAAGTAAATGAGAAGAAGAATATGTTTCCCTCCAAGCACAGACTCGCCATATATTGGTGGAAAGATAGAGGAAATGGAGAAGCTTTTCTTCTACACATTTTCCCTTACAATTGCATCCTTGAGTCAATGCCTAAGGCAGTCCTATAAGGAAGACATTCAAATTACAAGCTTCCAGAATCACGGCAATCAGGCAATGTAATGTTGGGTTTATCAAGGATTACATACTCTAAGCATGTTACTTACTGTGTACTGCCCAAATCATCCAATAAAGTATCTGCACATAACCCTACTTTTTGTGAAAAAAGGTATACCCAATCACTCAACAGTAAAAGATTTGTGTATCCCACCTTCATATTATTCTCTTTTGAATAAGCCTTTCTAAAATTGCCAATAAACAAAAAATAAGTTATCCATGAAAACAATAAAGAACCAATCAGAAAGGTATATACAAAGACAAGTACACAATTGGATGAGGACTATGCAATTGTATGCTCAGTTGGAACCACAAACTGAAGAAAAAACAGGAGTCCTTATCAACGAAAGTATAAAACTACTCAAGTGAACATCAGTGAGAGTATTCAGGGGTCGAGCAGAAAAAAGACTAACATTCCTAACATGTAAAAGAGCTTCTTATAGAAAAAATAAAGTGTAAAAGAGCTGATGTAGAAATTCAGAAGATTTTATAGCAATTCATAACAGAAATCTATCATGTTTTTCTGGCTTTCTAAAATCAAACATACCCTCCTACTCTTCAGATGATAAAAGTCAATAAGGTCATCTGGCTGTGCATGAGAAATCTGAGCCTTTGCCTTGATTTCCTCTGTTTCCCGAAGCTGCTTATCTGACAGCATTTGAACAAAACTCTCACGGCAAGACTGCAACCAGATCTTTCTGAGATCATCCCCAGTGTTGCATAGCAATCTTATGCAAAGCACAATTCTGTCATAAGAATCATTATCAATTGGGTGCGGAAGAGCTGAAGATTGCCCCAGTTGTAGCATAGACACAATGATCAGCAACGCTTGGGTTGATGCTTTATTGACCTCTACTTTTGATGGTTGAACCTCTTCCAATCTCAGGACAAGCTTTGTCAGTGTGCATGCCACAACTGCCCCAAGGAAAAAGTCACCTGTGAGAAGAAGGGCTCTCAAATTTCCAGAAGTCAGTGATCCTTGAACAACAGTAGGAGGGGAAAAAGCAGTTTCAGAGGCAGCACTCTGAGTAGCATAAGTCCCATCAGCAAGTATAGCTGGTCTTCTAGATGAAACAGTAGTTATATTATTTACTTGCTGAGACTTCTTTGAAGCATCAGCAGCTTCTCCTTCGTCTGAAGCTGAGTAAAATGGTAGTTCTCCAAGGCACTGCTTAATGTTTGCAATACCATTTTCAACTTCAGAAAGAGACAGGCAGTACTCTCCAATGATCCAAAGAGCACAGGAACAGACCCGAGCAGCTCGGATTTGGTAGAAAGTGTCCAGTAGCCTGGTTATAATAGAGACCCTTAATTTTGGATTGGTTTCAATTATCTCTCGCACAAAAACCACCACATCCATAGCTGATGCAACATTGTTGTCTCCCAAGAAATCCATCAACAAATGAACCACCGTGCTTGCCACTTCAGGGAACTTGATTGCACAAGAATGAATGGCTTGGATGAGCATCTGGCGGTACTCTCCATTCTTCTCAAGCTCCCCACTCTGGGTCTTTACAACTTCTTTCTTTAAAGTAAGAACAACCTCATTGATGTTTCTGGGAGTGATCAATTCAAGAACAATATCAGTTGTTTTCCTCCTAATGTCAAGATTCGGACTTGAGAGTGCCCTTAGCACATCCATTATCAAATCAACCATAATCTCTCTATGTGTAGATTTGAGTTCATTCAGTCGGTCAAGCACAATTAGTTTAACATTGTTGTCACTTTGAGATAGAAGAAGCTGGCAGTAGGTATTGGCTGCAGCCCTAATAGCAGTAGGTGCAGACGACAAAGACACAAGAGTGCCAGCACATTCATAAGTAACAGCAGAGGAAGGAGCATTCAAGAGAGAGATAATAATCTTTATGTACTTCCCCTTTTCTCCCTTATTTGTTTTACAAACTTTCCGGATCAACTCCAACACAACCATCTGAAGCAATTCACCCCATTCAGACACCCTATCAACATGAGTCAAAAGGTAATTAACCGCACGCTCCTGGGCACAAGTGAAAAGCATAAGAAACGCATTCCTCTTGGCTGATGGATCCTGCTCTGTTGAAAGAACCTTCTCAATCATCTCTGGTGCGTCAACAAGAAGCTGCTCACCTTGTGGAAGTTTGTAGATCGACATCACAGCAAGAATTGCATTCCTCCTGATAAATGGATGTCGATGCTCCAAATTCGCCAAAACAGACGGAATCAAAGGCTCAATGATCTCCACCTCATTCAATCGGCAAAGAAACCTCAAAGTTACACCCCGAATGTACTCATTCGGGTGCTGAAGATTATTCCTCAAATTTTGACAAATCAAAATCATTTCGGGCAAAACTTTTCCTTTAGCATCAGTTTTGTCAATTATCTCCAAATAAAGGAGCAACAGTTTTTGAATAGTGTGATCTTCAGAGGGTAACACATATCGAATAATAGTGATAAAAAGCTGAGGTAGAGTCTCACCATTCAGCAAAAGCATGACAGCTTTCTTCATGGCATCAACCTTTGCGGGAATATCGTTTCCTTCAAGAGCTTCTTTGATCTCATTGGCAATAGCTGGTGTCCCTTTGTCGAAATAAACAAGCAGAGAGCAAGATTTCTCCATGTCACTTGATGACTGATACAAAATTCAAAACTTACAGTTCAGATCCAGAATTTCGAAATCAAAATCCAAAAATGTAACAACTCAAATACAAAATAGATCAAAAATGCATTAGCTCTATGACTGAACTCCAATGAATATTCTCAATTGAGATCCAGAATCAAACATTTTAATGCCCAGTAATCTAAAAATTGACGAGAATTCATTAATAATCTTTTACAACGAAAACTAATCAATGAAAATGATTAAACCCAAATAGCTTCTGCTACATGAAAACTAACCAGATCTACAACCAATTCCATTTTAGATTACTGTGAGAAAAATTAATAATCAAAAACTAGTTAATATCAAATCTTGGGCTTTCAACAAATTTGTACAGGAGAATATTAGATTATTTTGTCAGTTAAATAACCAAAACTTATTTGGGACTTGGGTGCAACAGAATAGGATACGATGCCAAGATAATGTTAGACAGAGAAACCAACTGACACTGATCTCACGTGTATTCTCAACGGGCACTGAGATATGGGAGTTTCAAAAATGGTACTAATTGACTAGGGCATCTCTCTCTCTCTCTCTCTCTCTCTCTCTCTCTCTCTCTCTCTCTCTCTCTCTCTCACGGACACGCACGCACACATACATACAACCTTTTACACCCTTCTGAATTGCATCAGTTTATTACAAATTCAGATCGCACACTCTTTTACAACCAATCTGAATTGCATCGGTTCGTTAAAAATTCAGATCTTAGACATTGAAAACGAGAGAGATAGAGAAAGACTACCAGATCTGAGGCAGAAATTGGATCTGAAATTTTCCCAGACAATCGAATAAAAGGAGGAACACCGAGAAGGAGAAGAAGTGCTGTTAGATATGCGATCCAGAGGGGGGTGGGTGTATGTGAGTTTGCTGCGGTCTATAGCTTACACTAGGTAACGTAGGAAATAAGAAGCAACGGAGGATGAATGATTTACGTGCGTAACTTCAACCGGTTAAGACTAAAAGAATGGCTTCTTTGGGCCGGTAGTTGGGTCAATCTGCAAAATACAACAATTACGATCCGTTCTCTTTTTAATTATTTTTTGGATTAATTGCACTAGAAATCCTTAAAATATAAATTTTATCTCATTTTAGTCTCTAATATTTTAATTACATCATTTTAGATCTTGAAGTATTAAACATATTTTTATATGGTCCCTCAAGTAGACAGCGTCTAGATTACTAACGATTTTTTATTTTAAATTTGTCACGTGATATTTAAATATGAAAAAAATAATAATTTGGATAATTTTTTACCAAATTTTTACTCAAATTTTAGTTAAATAACTACCTAAATTATACAATTTTGATCATAAGTTATCCAAATTTTGGTCAAAAACTACTCATATTACACATTGTTTTGTCAAAATGTACCCAAATTTTGTTTAAGAGCTATTATAATTCTTTTTTGTCTATATTTAAATATTATGTGATAAGTTTATGATAAAAAATCGTTAGTAGTCTGAACGCTATCTGTTTGAAGGACCATATAAAAATATATTCAATACTTCATTAACTAAATGATGCAATTAAAAAATAGGGACAAAAATAAGACAAACTCCATACTTTTAGAGACCTCCAATACAATTAACCCTTATTTCTTTCACTCGTTTGATTGGCATATTTATAGGGGAAATTAAATAGACATACTAAATTAGAAGGTAAATTGCACCAATAGTCTTTGAGATTTATCATTGGTAGTATTTTGGTCTTCAAAGTTTTAATTTCGTCAATTCAGTCTTCAAAGTTTATAACCAAGACAATGGCATCCTTAACCCTAACAACCATTCAAATTATTCACGAAAAAACAAACACATGCATTGCAAATGACTACAATTAAGGGTATTTAAGTCCTTTTAACATTTTATACACCCAAACATCTTTACACCTCGTTCTCGCTCTTCTATTTTTCTTCTTTCTTTTTTCCTCGCACACACATTCTCAATAGAGCATATGCACAATCACATTACACTTTCTATCTCTTCTCCCTCTTCTCTGTCCAATTCTCCTTCTTTCTACACAAAACACACACCAATCCTAGTTCTCCATTTTTTTTGCACATCTCTTTGCCTCTGTCTCTATCTCTATCTTTCTCTTTCTTGGTCTCTCTCTTTGCGCACAACTCTTAGTCACCTAAACAACCCAAACACTCTAGTTATCTCTCCAAATATATCTCTTTCTATACAAAACACAATCAGAAATTAAAAAATAAAATTATAATTGAAAATAACAAATCAATATCAAAAAATCATAATCAAATTGTGGGAAGGGAGGAACAAATAAAGAGAGAAACAAATAGAGATGTTGACTCTGTTATGGTGGTCAACTGAGAGATGGGTAGGGGAGAAAATAAAGCATGGGGTGGGGGTGGTGTTGGAGGGGTGGATGCATCTTGGTGGTGGCAGAGGACAGAGGTAGTATGCGAGAAAGACAGAGAGGGAAAGAGAGCAAAGTGTCAAAAATGACAATGAGGAGACAGAGTGACAGTATTTTTTATTTTAATTAGAGTGATAGTCTTTTAATGTATTCAACTATTATAGTATTAAATATAACAAGTATATGTATATTTTTAAAATTATATTATGCCATTTTGGAACTGGCAATGACAAAAATATCCTTAATAGTAATCATATGCTAGGCACATGATAGTTTTTTGTTAACAAGTTGAATAAGGATCACATTAAAAAAAAAACTTTAAGGACTAAATTGAAAAAAATGAAAATTTGAGGACCAAAGTACTATAAGTGATCAACCTCAAGTACCATTAGTGCAATTTAACCTAGATTAAATTTTATAATTTGGATTAATACTATATTTAGATGCAAAAAATCAATCCATACTATGTATAGTATTAATCAGACACATATCTCTATGATAATAATGTTAATACAATCTATCCATACTATTGAGCTATTTTAAATACCATTGTATCATTATTTTATAACTTTCTCCCGCACAAAACTAAGAAAACCATTATGTCCATCCTTTTTTTTAACTTATTTGAAAGAAAAAAAATTACTAGACACCTTGACTTTTGAATAAACAACCATACAAGCCCTAACATTTTTTAAATAAAATATCAACTTTCTAAAATGGCAAACCGTAAAAGACGCACCTTTTTTAGGGATTTTCCACAGTCACTCTAGATTTCTTAAGGACATCTTGGGTTGGACTTACCCATTTACTATCAACTATAGGGTAGATGATCTCTACATCCAATAGTTTTAACACTTTTGTTCTAACCACCTCTTTCATATTAGGGTTGAGTCTTTTTTGCATCTCCCTAGATGGTTTTGTATTGTCCTCCAAGTAAATCTTATTCGTAAACACTAAGAGACTAATTCCCTTGATATCATAATAGTCCACCCTATAGCATGCTTGTGATCTCTAAGGATTTTGAGCAGCTTACCTTCTTGAGCTGAACTAAGGTGAGAAGAAATTATTACCAGAAAGATGTTCTCCTAGCGAAGAAAAGCATACTTCAAGTCAACAAGTAGGGGCTTCAACTCAAGCTTTGGCAATTGTGGGCTAGATGGTTTAGGCAAATTATTCCTTGATGGAAACTCTTCAAAATTTTGCTTCTATTCTCTAATTTCATTCACCTGTGAAGAATTTAAAATAGAATTTAGTTCATGAATTTCAGAATTTTCTTCACCAAACTCTAAAGATGAAAAATCAAGCAAGCAAGATCCAAGTGGATCCAAACTACATGAACCATTAAATTGATCATGCACGATAGAATCAATCAATTCACTTCATGTAAAGCCTCTTCATCCATTGGTTGCTTGCAAACATTGAAAATATTCACTTCCAAAGTAATATAGCCCAAAAAAAGGTTTCATAACTCCATTCCTACAATTTATCAAAGCATTTGAAATGGCAAGAAATGGACACCCTAATACGACTAGAATACGAGTGCTAGCATTCAACACAGAGTGCGTATTTAAGATAATAAAATCAATAGAGAAATAAAAATTATTTACTTGGACTAGCACATCCTCCACCACTCTTTTTAGTACCTTCACAGAACGGTCAACAAGTTGAAGAGTTATGGAAGTTGGTTTGAACTCACTAAAGACCCAATTGTTCATATACCAAGTAGGGTAAGAGAATGACACTACCCCCATGTCAAGTAAAGCTTCTTCAATTTTAAACTTTCCAATCACACAAAAAATAGTATGGAAACCAAGATCCTTATATTTAGATGGAGTAGTTTGTTGAATGATTGCACTCTCTTGTTCAGTTAAGAATGTCTTCTTTTGCACGTTAAGCCTACGTTTAATGGTGCATAAATCTTTCAAAAATTTAGAAGAGGGACAGAATAGTCTTGGCTCCTTGAGAATGTCCATAAAAGAAGGCCTGGACGTATTTGTCCCTTGACATCGACAACCCCGACTTTGATGATGAATTGGGCTTTGAGTCTTGCCCTTTCTTATCATGTTCAAATAACATATAATTGAAATAGATAAAAACATACCTTGTCGACCTGATTTTTGAATATATCAAACCCGTAGTTAGGCAATTCAAAGTTCCTTCAGTGAGATTCTTCTTGAGAAGGTCTTCATGTCTGACCTCCAAACATGAATGTTGACGTTGGGTCAAGCTTTTCCTTGTAACTATATTGCACTATGTATAGGGTCTCACCCAAAGTCTCATGTTACCTCCCTATTTGCAGGGCCTGGAGCTTTTCCAAGTGCCTAAACATGTAGGTCTTCTAGTGATTTGGCCATGCAAAGACTTACCCATGTTTTGGGCTTAAACCTGTGTCTCATACCACCTCTCTAAACAAGGAGTACTCTCCGAGTCCAAGTTTTGAACCTGTCCCTGAGAGGTTTTATACCTACATTAAGACTTTTGGTGCTTTGGCCGAGCAAAGGCTTACCCGTGTTCGAGGTCTAACCTCGAGTCTCATACTACCTCCCTAAACAAGGGGTATTCCCGACTCCAAGTTCTTGAACCTGTCCCTGAGAGGTTTTATGCCTACATTAAGACTTTTGGTGCTTTAACCGAGCAAAGGCTACCCTGTGTGCTTATGCCTCGGGATCTATGTCTTGGAGGCCTAATCCAATTTTGTTGGTTAGTTTGGACTTCTTTCCATTGTGCATTCTAGTTGCTATGTGAGAATGCTCAAAAAGCTTGGATCAATTTTCATCATAAAAGATTATGAGCTATAGCTTCCCTCAAGTAAAGTTATATCCTTCCTGATGCTTGAAAGCCTCACATGACGTAATTAATTGTAACGTCCAAGGGGGCTGAGAATGAAGTCTAATAATTAATCACCCAGCTTTGTCCTTACTCCGAGGGATTTGAAGTAGAGACTCCAGTTTCTTATAAGCTCTAGATGGGTATGCCGACCACCTACAACTTCTGGTTCTAATGTCGATTCGCCATGGGAAGAGACAACATCCACTTAATCATGGACGATGCCGACCATCTACAGATGATGGGTCCAACCCATCTGGTTAGTCTGCCAACCACTGTGATAAGTTTTGCAACAACACCGAGTGGCAACCATAGCGAGGACACTCTTGGTGTTTGATCAAATGCACAAATGAGAATCTCCTTAAAAGTTGGGCACTATTTCTGCTTGCCTTTGTTGAAAAGGATGATAATTTGTCTAGTGTGAAGCCGAGCACTTCCAAAAATGATTTTGCTTCTCTTGGTCATAAGTGATGCCCGACCACCTAAGAAACCTTTGTCTGAGAACTTGTCTTTTTGAGATATGCCCCCCCACTATGAATAGTTCCTTGAAGTCATGCCAAAACACGGAGACTTTCACGGTCGAGATGTCTTGATGATGCCAAGCAATTAAGTGTTGCGAATTG